ATTTAAAAAAGGACTTCTTATTGTCCTTAATCTGGGAAGCTAGTCCCAGTTCCATCTCTGCCTTGGCCTTCCTAACTACCCCCCTACATCCCCGAGCAACTGCAGAATAGTCCTCCCTGGTGATGACCCTTTCTTTCCATTGGGTGTAAGCTTCCTTTGGTGCACTGGATGACATATATTACATTTCTGGCGGTGCCAGTGTATGATCCAGGAATATTAATGGTTCTGTTGGGCAGGGGGGAGCGTTATTGTGGGGGTGGTGATGTGTTGGCAGGGTTTACATTACTTGGCATGGCATGACCATTCGGTGTGTTTTTGTCTGTAGGAAGTTTGCTTCTGTTGATGAGGTTGGTGGGGTTCAGTACTTGTTTAAAAGATAAGATAGGTGGTTCTGGGAAGATCTTTAAGAGTTGGGTCTTCGTCTAGTATGGGTTGCAGTTGTTGAGGATTTTCCATATAGGTTCCAGGGAGGGATGATATGTCTTTACCAGTGGTGTACAATTCATGGGGGGTTTTCTTCTGTACTGCAGTAATTCTTTGTGTGGTATCTGGGTGGCTCTTGTATGTTGGTCCAGGGGTTTCTTGTATATGGTGGTCTCTATTTTACCATTCTGGCTAGGAATCATCATGTCTGAAAAGGAAATGTTGGTGCTGGAGTATTGAAGAGATAGTGTGATGGAGGGGTGATGCTTGTTGAATTTCTGATGGAAATCAATTGGAGATTGCATATTTTCAGTCTAAATTATGAGATCAATATATCTTAAGTATAGCAAGGGTTTGATGGTACAGTCCTTGAGGAATTCTTCTACCTCATAAAAATGTCGGCATAGTGTGGGGCCATTTTCATGCCCATAGCTGTGCCCATGGTCTAGAGGAAGTGTTGGTTATTGAAAGTGAAGTTTTTGTGTGTGAAGATGAAGTGTATAAGTTCAGTAATGTCTTTGGGTCAGCACTTTGAGTTGTAATCTTTCAGGGAGCAGGGAGTCTCTCAGAGCCAGCCAATAGGAAATGCTGAGCAGAGAGGTATGTCACCCTCCTCAGAATTAGGCAACTCAGTCAAGGCTACAAGGAGATGCTTCCCTCATGTATTTAAGATCCTGGAGCCTTGAATCCTCTCCTGAAGCTCTCTAATCATAAAGTCATAGAAAGTTAGGGTTGGAGGGGACCTCAGGAGGTCATCTAGTCCAATCCCCTGCTCAAAGCAGGACCGTCCCCAAATAGATGATCCCAGCCAAAGCTTTGTCTAGCCAGGTCTTGAAAACCTCCAAGGACGGAGCATCCACCAACACTCTGGGTAAACTGTTCCAGTGTTTAACTACCCTCCTAGTGAGGAAATTCTTCCTAATATCTAACCTAAACTTCCTTTGCTGCAACTTGAGACCATTGCTCCTTGTTCTGTCATGTTCCACCACTGAGAACATAGTTTCATAGTTGGTAGGGTCAGGAGGGACCTGTGCAGATCATCAAGTCCGACCCCCTGCCATGGCAGGAAAAAGTACTGGGTTCAGACGACCCCAGCAAGGTGTTCGTCTAGCCTCCTCTTAAAGACCCCCAAGGTAGGAGCCAGCACCACTTC